TCATGAGTGAGCCGTACGTGGAAAGCACTCAACTCACTCGTGTGTGCGTGTGTGCGTGCTTGTTTGCCATACGTCTGTCGGCTCTGTGCATCATGTGTATGTGCCGTTCGAGAAGCTGTATGTATGTCATGCCTGCCGTGCATGAGTGAGTCGTGGGTGTGTGCCTCTCTAGCCGTGTGTGTGTGCCTCTCTCTGTCTCTCTGTCTCTGTGTCTGTGTCTGCCTCTCTGTCTGTCTGTCTGTCTGTCTGTGGCACAAGCACCGCTGTGAGTGCTTGGCCTTTTCGTCTTGTGTGTATATGTGTGTGTGCGCCTGGCTAGCTACCTACGTACATCATGATGAAACTCACGCGTGATCGACAAGTACTAGTGATGCAAAACAAATGACGCTTAAGTACTTGCCGCTGGTTTCGACAAGTGATGCATGGAAAGGAGTGGACAGACTGACCGCGATCAACTTGAAGCGGCTCGGCTACACAACAGCGTTCCGATTTCGATGGCAAACATACTTACGCCGTTTCACCCTCCCTCTCACTGACCACAATACACCACACCACACACACAGGGTCGATCAGGTTCCTTCTTGTGTGCCTGGCTGACTGTAGAAAACGTCCGTGCCCACACACACACGTAGGCCACACCACACCCGCTGTCCCTTGTCCGTCCGAGTGCTCCATCGACTGACTAAAAATAGGCAGGCCGCTCTGTCTGCCTCTCTGTCGCTGTGCCAGCCTCTCTCTGCGAAAACCGCCTGGCATAGATGGCAGACAGACAGACGGGAAGAAACGCTTCCTCTCGGAAGGAAGCTGACGAGCGAGTGCGATCGATGCATCGATGAGGCTGGGCTTGTCATCATCATCATCTAGTACTAACGCCTATGCCTGTCTGTCTACATCTCTCTCTCTCTCTCTGTGTCTGGTTATCTATCTATCTCAGATGTCTATCGGATCTGCCTGTAATCGCCCTCTGCTCGCTTCCACCCATACTCGGCCGGCCGCACCAGGTAAAACAAACCTGCACACACAAAGGAAAGTGCGGTCGGCGTGTTAGCAGTAGTGTGTTGATGCGTCGTGTCCGTCCGCACCAGCGGCGAGTGCGCTCCCGACGAATGGGACGAGCAGGTAGAGAGGGAAGTAGACCCATCCACCGCCCGTGCGGATGCCGTGCACCATCAGGCTGCCGAACGACACCGCCGGATTCAGCGACGCACCTGATATGCTCCCGATCGCAAAGGCCTGCATCACACGTGTGACGCGACGCACATGATTGATACACATAAGTGAGAAGCACAATTCATTCTTCAACTGCGGTCAGTCACCGAGGCCATGACGGTGAACCCGATTGCGAGGCCGAAGTAGTGATTTGGCGAGTCCTGCAGCCAGCCACCCCCACCCACCCAGCCAAAGACACACACGCACAGATCAAGCAAAAACGTCCCCCATCCATCCGTCGCGTGAGCGCACCTCCTTGGTAGTGGCAGTGTTGAGCACGACGAAGCACAGGGCGCACGTGAAGAACCTGAACGAACCAAGGAATGGCTGACACGTACATGGATGGACCCAGCACAGCACAGGTCACGGCAACTCCCCCACTGCCTCCCTCCCCACATTCTGCATGTCTGTCTGTCTGTCTGTCTTACATTTCAGCCACTGACGCATCAAGCCAGTTGTGTGTCTTGCCGGGCGCAAGTGCGAAGGTCAGGCCGGTGAGGTACCAGTAAACCAGACCCGCCAGCAGACCGCCCACCTGCACACACAACACAGGCATCAAGCAAGCACCGACCTACACCCACTCTCAAGGCCTTGTGCGTTGTATGTCTGCCAGATGCGAGATGTGTGTGTACCAGCTGTGCCAGCATGTAGAGGCAGGCGTCTTGGGGCGTGATCTTCTGTCGGCCACTGATTAGAACAGAAGTCGTCACAGCGGGGTTGAAGTGAGCGCCTGCATAGATAGTGTGGCAACCAAGGGGAGAACAGACGATGGATGGATGGATGGATGGATGGGCCGTGTAGGTGGATAGATCTTTGCCTGCGTGTCTGTGTGTGCCGTCATTCGCTCACCTGACACCGAGCCCATAGCGAAGATCATGACCATCAGGATGCCCCCGATGGCAAGGGGAGCGAACGGCACACCTACACGAACAAATGCGCCATCACACAGAGATTGCTGTCGGTGTGTGAGCCCTGCTGTTATGATACCCCCCCAAAGCCTCCTTACTTACCGTTGATGACGCAGCACCCGATCGTGAGTACGAGGAAGAAGGTGCCGATGCACTCGGCCACGTACTTCTCTACCGCAAGCTCGGCCATCGATGCTCACTCACTCACCTTCAACGCCTTCCTGCCTGCCTTGGGTGATGAATGATGCCTGCCTTCCTTGGTTGGGAGAGAGGGGATGGGGAGATCTGCAGGTCAGGTCACACACATGAAGCGACACAGGCCCGTGTGTATCCACCACTCGCCCCTTTCGCCCTGATTTCGCTTGCCTTTTCCAGTTCTCTCTCTCGTCTGTGGTTTCACGGGGAGTTGGCGAGGAATTCCCGGCCGCTGTTTGTGCGTTGGAATAGCATCGCATATGGACGATAGCGCTCCAAGGTAAGCCAGCCACAATCCCACTACCGATGCGAAGATCCCATGCTCATATCATCATCACATCACATGTGAATTGGAACAGGAAAAGAGGTCGTCGGCTGCGGAGGCCTCAGCGCGAGTCCAATGCAGCAGCTGCCGATGACCAAGACGAGAGCATGGCGCCGGCGGCCGAGCAGCCCGGCAAGCGCCACAGCGAGCGCAGTCCCGACCCATCGCCGCCTCCAAAGAAAGCAAAACAGGAGGAGCAGAATGGCGATGGCAAACAGGGTGGCGGTGCAGATGGCGGCGTGGATTCGGGTGAGGAGGATGAGCTGGTCATAGAGGACGAGGAGGAGGATGGCGATGGCGGCAGGGCGGACGGCGGCGGGAAGGGTGACGGTCATAGCGGGAGTGAGGGCAAGGAGAGGGTGGATGAAAAATCGGACCAGGGTGGTGGCGAGCGGCAGCAGCCGCCAAGGCGGAAACGTAGTAAGGCACGAACCAAATGCCTTTGCGTGGATGCACATCTGGCTGCCTGGCTGGCTGCGTGTGTGCTGCACTCACTGCAGGTGAGATGGAGGAGGCGCCCGAGGAGAATCGCAAGAAGCGGAAGGAGCCGGCTACCGAGAAGGTCGGCTCGGCTGCATCATATCATGCCGGCAGATGCACATTGCACACATGCCACTGCGATATATGTAATGTGTCCTTCCTTGGTTGTGTTGCTGCTTGCCTTCATTCAGGTTGGTTGTGCGTCGGCAGAGGACGACCTGCACATCGAGGAGAGGGACAAGCCGGGTGGGCCCAAGCGCAAGAAAGCCAAACCAGCCAACAACAACAAGAAGAAGGAGATAAAGAAGGAAAAGCAGACCAAAAACAAAAAGACAAAGGTAGGTAGTACCCTCATGGAGGAGAGAACTCTGCTCACGTGTGCTATGCACGTCGCCTCCGTCCGGGTCAGGTCAAGAAGGTCAAGAAGGAGGAAGCCGATGACGCCAAGAGCGAGGAGGCCGGCAGCGACTTCAGCGCCCCATCCGAAGGCAGCAGCAGCAGCAGCAGCAGCCCCAGCCCCAGCGAGTCCGAGGACGACAAGGAGTCCCTCCGCCAGATGGCCCGCCCGCAGCGGGTCGACCCTGCCGACGAAAACTACGAGGACGACGAGTGGCGGGTTGACCAGGAGGCCGACGTCACCTTCGGCGTCTGGCATCTCCCCTTCTGGCGCGTCGTCAAGACAAGGCTCGCCGAGACTGGCGACCCACACGCATCCCTCAAGCCGCTCACCTACCTCTTCCCGCCCAAAAGGTCCGTCAACAATGCCACAGGAGTGAAGAAGGAGGACCAGGGAGGGGGGCAGGGAGGGGAGGAGGGTGCGGGTGGGGCTGAGTCGGCAGACGCAGCACATGTCAAGAAGGAGGAGGGGGCTGACGGCGATGGTGAGCCCAAGGCTGAGAGTGGCGAGACCAAGCCACCCTGCAGTGAGGGCGAGGGGCAGCAGCAGCAGCATGAGGTCAAGATGGAGGAAAACGACGCCCCCACACGGCAGCCCCCGCCACAGACCCACCCCACCTCCATCGATCAGCAGGCGCCATCAGCAGCTTCCGCAGCCAAGCCCGACGACCATGCAGCGGCCCCCACTACCACAGCAGCGGATGACGGCAAGCCACCGCACATCGGTGGCGAGTCTATTCTTTTCGAGGATGACGACAGCCGCATGCCGGACGCGGCGACCGACGAACAGCAGCAGCAGCAACGACAGCAACAGACAGAGGAGGAAGACGCTGAGGGTGAGGACGAGGTGTGTGAGAGGACGGTAGCGGCGCCGTGGCGCCTGGCTCCTAGCGACGAGAGGAGCCGGGTGGTGGTCAAGATGCTCAACGAGGGGCGGCGGGAGGTGCTCAAGGACAAGGGCCGGGCCATCAAGCGGGTGTGGATGGAACAGCTCCTGCTGCTCGAACAACTCACTGAGGGGTTCATGGTGAGGGAGGGGGTCGGTCCACAGAAGAGACCAGACCCATGGGCACACAAAGAAAACAGCTGTATGCACCCGCCCCCGTGTGTGTGTGTGTGTGTGTTTGTGTGTGCAGAAGGATCCGAGTGAGGGGTTTTCGCGAGCCAAGGGTGAGATCCCTGGTGTGGGCGACATGCTGGCCAACCCCAAGGCGCACCCCACCCACTTTCTCGACACTGACCAGACACGCACGTCAGCCATCCCACCCCCCCACCACACACACTGATTATGTATGTATGTGTGTGTGTGTCCGTCCTTGACTCTCCTCATTCATGTGTGTGTAGTTTGTACCGTGACAAGGACGGCAAGGTGCACCTGCACAAGCTGGTGCAGCTCTACAACTGCCACCTGCACTTCCTCAGCAAGAAGAAACCCAAACCCGGCAGCAAAGCCAAGGCGCCAAAGGAGGCCAACAACGACAAGGGCCCACTCAGCCTGTCCCCACACGGACGGACCACGGTGAGTGAGACCGACGCGTTCCGCTCCGTGTCGCATGTGTGTGTGTCATGTGATGTGGGCCGTTTTGGTGCTGTCATGTCAGCTGGTGTTTCTGGTGAATCTGGCGAGCGCGCTGCGTCTGGCTGAGCCGACGACCAAGTCATTCCTGCCGGGGGGTGAGCGGCGGGTGGCCAACGTGGTGGACGCCGGCAAGTTACTGGAGCAGCACAAGGCCGCCAAACTCAAGAAGGAATGCAAAGACTCAATCAGTGAGATCCACACACACATACACGCACACACACACACACACAGAGAGAGAGAGAGAGAGAGATGGCTGGCCATGGTGCGTATGCCTGCACGAACGAACAAGTGGAACCATGTGTGTGTGCGGCTCGTTGATTAGAAATGGGTGGTGTGGAATTCGATCCGGATTTGTTCAACGAGCAGGACGACGAACAATTGCGACAACGTACGCACACACTTACCCTCACAGCACTCACTCCTGGGGGGCGCTGTCTGTCTGTCTGTCTGTCTCCTGTCGTGTTGTTCAGAGAATGACGACGACAAGGAGGGCGAGCGCCATGACGAGAATGACCGTCACATTGGCGAACTCACGGGACTTTTCACCGTACCTGGTGAGCTACTGAAAAGGTAGAGGGAGAGAGGCGTTGAGACTACACGGGCATTTCGTATGTATGTGTGTGTGTGGCAGAGAACACAGAGCGGCTGGAGGCGCAGCGGCAGAAGGCCAAGAGGAAGCTAGACAGAAAGATAGAACGCGCCCTGCAGGAACGGAATAGAGACGGTCGGTGAGAGCGAAGGAAGGCAGCCAGACGAGGGACGGCCACCACACATTTCCCTGACGGATGCTGTCTGTCTGTCTGTGGTGGCCTTTCTGTGTGTGTGTGTCTGTCAGGTGGTGTTGAGGCGCGCAACCTGCGTCTGGCCCAGAAGTTCCTCAAGACGACCATCATGGCCGACATCAAATTCAGCGAAGACAAACAGGGACGCAAAAGCGACAAATTTGGAGAAGACGAAGTTAGCCACACACACACACACACACACGCGCGCACACGCGCGCACACACACATAAACACCAGAACAGACAAAAGGCATGCCCACCGGCTGTTCTGTCCGTGTGTGTGTGGTGTTGCGGGTGCATGCAGCTGTTCATCGAGGCTGACGAGGACACCTACGGCCTCGACGCCAGGCGGGCCGCCTTCCAGGAGAGAGTCGCCATCATGAACAGAAAGAAAATCGCACAGGTACTCCAACAGCACGGCCACCACACACACACACATATACACATTCATCCCATGTCTCCTCTCCCTTCTCCCTCACGACAGCAAATCCTCGGCGGCCGTCTGCCGCAGCCCAAGAACCCTCCGCCCAAGCCCACCCCCACAGCCTCAGCGCCCCCGGACGAGGAGTCCATGCAGCCCCCACCTCCCCCACCCAGACCCACCCCCACAGGCATCTCGCGACACAACTCATCAATGCAGCAGCAGCAGCCCCAGCCCCAGCAGCAGCAGGACAGCAACCAGCCTAAAGCCAAGCCACAGTCACAGCCGGCGTCGAAGCCCCCGTCCAAGCCGCCCAGTAGGACAGCCAGCGACGCCCGGATGGCCACCGGTGCAGGTGGGCTTCCCAAGGCGCCTGCGGCCCCTCCGGCGAAGGATGCGGGCGGTGCAGCTGCCAAGGCCAAGGCAAAGGCACAGCCCAAAGCACATGTGCCAGCGGGCCGGCCTGTGGCTGAGGATGACGACGATGTCGAGATAGAGCTCGTCGACGACGAGGAGTCCATGCAGCCCCCAGCGCCACCACCTCCAGCACCCCCGCCGCAGGCCAAGGAAAAGGCCAAACCACGCAAAGTGCCACCCAAGGAACCACCCCCTCCGAAGCAGCCCAAGCAGTCAAAGCAGCCGCCGGTGGCCGCTGCTGCTTGTGCTGCTGCTGCCGCACCACAAGCCAAGAAGGATGAGTCGGGTCGGTTTGAGGTGCCTGACCTGCCGACGGACAGCATACGGGGAGCGGATGCGTCGCCCGTGGGGGAGGAGACACAACAGGGGGGCAGCCAGGGTGGTGCGGGCAAGGACGACAGCGTCTCCTCATCGGTGAGAGAATGGAGGGATGGGGGGCGGGCCATGTGCTCAGAGTGTTGGATTGGTGGATGGTGCGCGTGTCTGTCTTGTTTGCTTGGTGATGGATGGCAGCTTGGTGTTGGATCGGTCGACGCGGCGGACTCGCGTAGTGGAGGAGGGGTGGGCAGCGAGCAAGGCAAATCGCAGAGCAAGTCCCATGACGACAACTCATCCATACCCATGGAGGCAAGCACACCCCACCCCCCACCCCCTCCCCTGTGTGTCTCATGCATCTGTCTCATCTTGTCATGGATGTCTCTCTGTCTGCGGTCCAGGCGTGCACTCCCCGCCCCCCTTTGCCCCCCGCCAGCCAGCCCGATGACGACTCCTACCTCTACCGGTGCGCCGAGGCCACGCAGCCGTTCCACGGCGGCCCCTCTACCCTCCCCTCCCAGCCACAGCCGCCCCCTCGCGTGGTCATCCGGCAGCACGCCCACCAGCACTGGGGCGGCGCCGACGACGAGGCCACCATGATGGGGCTGGGCCAGCCCGGCCGGTTTGTCTCGCGTGATGTGGGCATGGCCATGGGCATGGAGAGGCCGCCGGAGGGGTGGCCCTCGCAGATGTATGAGTGCTCGGTGGCGACGGCGCCGGGGCCACTGGATATGAGCCAGATGGGCAGAGGGCAGTCGGAGGCGGCCGACAGCCCACAGCCACAGCAGATGCCCCCGTCCGAGCCGCCCCCGCCGTTCGATGACGACGCACCGCTGATCGAGGAGGAAGAGCAGATGCCCATGCCATCATCCTCAAAGGACGCTGAGGCGGCCAAGCCAGAGACCACCACCACCAGCAACGGCAACAGCGCCAAGGAGAGGCCGCCGGCATTGGCTGAGGCCAAGAGCGGGGGCTATGTGCGCAGGAAAAAGGGCATGGCCGACATCCGCAGCTTCTTCCACAAGACGGATGGGGACAAAGGCGACACCGCAGCCCACAACAAGCAGGACAAGGATGCAGCGGCAGCGGCCAAGCCCAAGCCCAAGCCGCCCGCCAGCGGGCCCCTGCCCCAGATGTTCGCCGCCATGCAGCAGAAGGGCAAAGCCCCCCAACCGAGCCAGAAGCCCGACACCCCACCTGACGCCGCCCACCCTGGCACCGACACCACGGCAGCCGAGGCAAAACCGACAGCACCAGCCGACCAGCGTGACGCGGCGATCAAGGAGCAAGAGCCGCCGGCCGACGTGCCAATGGAGGGTTCTGGCGGTGGTGGTGATGGTGTGGGTGGTGGTGGTGGTGGTGCGGATGTTGAGGGTGCGGAGGCAGGGGCTGCCCCAAAGCCTGCAAAGCGCAAGATTCGCCGGCTGGTGCGGCCTGAGGAGTCGTCTTCTTCGTCTGAGGAGGAGGAGCAGGTGGCCATCGACCCGCTCGTGCGGGAGCGGCTCAGACAGAAACGACGGGAGTGAGCATCTCATCTGAGCATACACACGCGTCAACCAAGAGGATGGCCTGATTGATGGTGTCTGTCTGTATGTGTGTTGGCTGGGACAGGGAGAAGGAGCGCCTTCGTCGTGTGGAGCGTCAGTTTTTCGAGGCCGAGGCCGACGATGAGGAAGACGACGACGGCATCGGGGGCGCCGCGCTGCTCGGCAGGCGAATCGCCAAGAAGAAACGGGATGAGCATGATGACGAAGACTCTGATAGGTAGGTACACCAAGCTGCCCACTGACACACTACATCCAATCCATGTGTGTATAACGTCGGTCGGTGTTGCATGTGTCCGTCCGTCAGCAATGTGTCTGACCTGGTGACCAAGGAGAAGGAGAAGAAGTTCCTGGGCGACGACAAGCGCGCCGAGAACGCCGCCCTCCACCAGGAGTGGCTACACGAACAGGAGGAAGAAATACTCGAAGCCGTCTTCAAGGGTGGGTGCACCTCTCACTGCCTCCCAGCCCCCACCCCACACCACACCCACGCCTGTGTGTGTCCATGGATGGATTGATCAGGTGGCCGTCGACGTCGTCGCGGCCGGCGACGTGCGGCCGAGATGGGCGAGGACGAGGCGGATGGGCTCAACCGGCGGCAGCGGATCGAGGCCAAGAGGCGACAGAAACTGCTCGATGGGGAGGACGACGACCAGGATGATGAGGACGACGAGCTAGATGACGACGAGAGTGAGACGAGACGCGAGAAGGAAGGCCCACACATAGCTACCTCCGCAACACGTCTCTTTGCCCATCCCTGGTGTCTGTCCGCAGTGTCGAGTGACTACGACAGCGAGGATGAGCTTGACGACCTCGAGCCGGAGGAGTTCAGCGAAGACGATGAACAGGATGACGGACAGGCGGACAACGACGATGACAACGATGAGGAAAAGAGACAGAGACTGGAGCAACAGGAAGAGCTCGTCAGACAGGTGAGTGAGACGGGCCGACGGATGCCGACGGATGGACGGCAGCCACAGATATATGAGATCGACGGATCGACACAGTGGACGCATGTGTGTGTGTGTATGTGTGCAGCGGTTCCGTGCTGGCGAGGCCACCCAGCAGGAGGTCGCCGACATGCTCATCGAAAAGACCCGCAGACAATACGAAAAGTAGGCGACCAATCCCCCCAGACACACAACACAATCTTCATCCTTGTCTCTCTCTTGCGATCCTTCCTTGGATCAGGCCGTTGCTGCGTCTCTTGAAGGCCTTCTTCCGCACCAATCCCCGGACCTACAAGGCCCACCGCGACGACCGCCTCAAGGCCGCCACCGACCTCACACGCCGCTGCATCCGCAACATCGCCCTCGACGCCAGCAAAGCCACCACATTCGACACCATCGTCACCCTCTACCAGTCCAAGATCGACCACAACCAAAACGTCATTCGCAGTGGAGCCCACCTGGCCGCCGCCAAGCAGCAGCAGCAGCAGCAGCAGCCCGACGCGGCGCAGCAGAAGAAGAAGGGCCCCAAGCCGCCCAAGGAGATCGTCATAGAGAGGGGCGAGGGCGGCACTGAGTGGAAGGTGCAGGACCGGGCGAGAGGCATCTTCGACAGGAAGAAGAAGGGGCCGGCACCCTCGGGCGTGGGCGTCGGCGTGGGTGGCGACTCGAGCAGCCAGATAGGCAGCCGACCGCCCCCGGTGAAGCGAGTGGCGTTTGTCGGTCCTGTGGACGAGGACCTGGAGCGTCAGATGAGCCGGCCCATCTCATCCGGCCTCCAGCAGCTCATGACGGGTGGCGGCCAGGGCAAGAAACAGCCCCCCACTGCAGCATCAGACGACAAACTCCATCCGATGTTCCGCGCCCACCGCCCTCGGCAGCAAGACCAGCAGCAGCCCGCACCAGCACCAGCACCAGCACCAGCACCCGCAGCCCCTCCCCCGCAAGACTTCTCGTGTCTGCTCGACGAGGTGCCCATCGGCGGCACACGCGCCCCCCCAGCAGCGGCGCAGGCCAAGGGCAAGGCCAAGGGGGCCCCGAAGAAGGGCGGCAAGGGGCTCTTCGGTGCCCTGAAAAAGAAAAAGGAGGAGGCCGCTGCAGCTGGGGCAGGGGGTGTGGGTGGTGTGGGTGGTGTGGGTGGTGGTGGTGGGAGGGGAGACGGCTCTTCGATGGGTGTGGGTATTGGCCTGGGTATGGGCATGGGCGTGGGCAGCAGTAGCGGATTCAAGTTTGACTCCATGGATGAGGGCGACTCGCGACAGGGACAGGCCGCTGGCGGGAAACGGTATGTTCGTTCGTTCGTGACATGGCCACGGGGGACACGACGAGTTGTCGTCTCTTTGTTTGCATGTGTGTGTGTCAGGTGGGTGTGGACGGCCAGCTCGTCTCGTGCCGGCGACCCTGCTGGAAGCACTAGCGGCGCATCGCACGGCCAGGCCCCTCCAAAGTGAGCGATGACTACACAGACGCACACCAAAGACTACTGCATGTGTGTATGTATGTGTGTGTGTGTGTGTGTGTGTGGTGTGGTCGCTTGCTGCAGTCGAGGGCAGGCCAATCCCAAGAGGGCACCGGCAGCAGCAGCAGCAGCAGGTGGGGGTGGCGGAGGGGGGAAGGGCGGTACGGCGGGGTCGCTGGCAAACCTCCTGCAGCGCAAGTGAGCGCCGGTGGCTGGATCGGCTGGCTCACTCGTGTGTGTGGTGGGGTGTGGTGCGTGTGTGTGTGAGTTTCCTAATGAATGAGAGAATTCGCTTATGACGCGGACAGGCGGCCAGACAGTAGCACTGCGTTGGATTCCATTCCATGGGACTGCATGGTCTGGATTGATCAAACCAAATCCTGCTGAATGGATCGGCCTCGGTCTCGTTGTGTGCCCCACATCCGCGGCCACGGCCACACCCCCCCCCCCC